TTTTCAACTTAGTGCAATTTATACTTCTGTAGCAGAGAACCTTGGTGCTACACCTACAACTACACATAACTCTCAAGGTTCTTTAAAGAACACAAACTTCAAAAACAACAATATTTAATTAACACTAGTTAAAAATCAAATGTTTTATTTTTATATTTATAATATAGGTTAAAGTCTGTTATCTTCCCATACATAAAGAATACATCAACAATATCATTGCACTAAGCGATTTTAGTAAAATAAAACCTAATATTTTCATTATACCTCAAATTCAGGTTATTTTCATAAATTTCATTAACTTATATATGATAAATATGATAATCAATCTTTGAGTCAAAAATCGGTTACCTGTAATTGCATTTGTTTTACGATCAAACATTTTAATTTGGCATTTGAGCATTTTTGACATTTGGAATTGCATTCCTTTTTCTGTTTGACATTTGTACTCTATTAAGAGTTATAAAACAGTTATACTGCGATTTTGCCTCTGAAAAATCAACAGCATTCTTACACACTATTTTAGTAACATTTCTGTGTCTAGTATTTTAACAGCAGAATTTTTTCTAAAAAAAATACAGAAGTTATTATGAAAACAACTGAAATGACATTTCTTCAAAATGAAACAGTATTTTTAATGTTTGGTCAACGTGATAAATTAACAGGTATTATAAATTTGCATGCATGTTGTAGGCATTATATATATACAAAAATATTTAATTTATGCAATGAGTAAATTACAAAAGTCAAATTACTTAAAATCAGATTAATGCTTAGCTAAAATTTGTGTAAATATTTGCCATTCTTAAAGAATTTTGGGGGGAATTACAAATGAAGTCTATTTCTTATTAAAATAAAATCAATTGCTAATAATTCTGAAATATTAAAGAAAAATAAAATACTATTATCTTTATTTCTTAACTTACTAGGCCAGTTAAACCACAGAACAGAATATGTTTCTGCATATTTAGAGAACTTTTAAGAAATAAAAATTCAATCATAGTTAAATTATATATAAAATATTATGGTTCCAAGCATTTACAATAAGTAAGGAGCTTCAAAAGGAATTGGTCGTAATGCTTTGAAAATGTGTTTCCTGAAATATTTTAGAAAATTGCCATGTGGATGCGAAAACGGCAACGTTGCTAAATTGGCAGCAAAAATTGTCACTATGGCCTGTGAGGAGTGTATTTGTCCATATCTTGTGTTCTACTTCAGCTACTTCTACAAATTAATCATTGTTGAACTTTCTTTTAATTATCCTTTGGAGTTAAAGGATATATAATTCTATATACAAAGTAAACACTTAAATACAAAATGTATCCAACAATTTGACACAAATTAAACCCTGAAATGATCACCCAAGATGCAACAAATAAATAAGTAAGAACAAGACATAGTATTACAACAATACAGTAAAGCAGCAATATAATGAAAGGGGATTTTGTTGCATTTGGATATTTACAATGATATTTTCAACATTAGTTATACTAATGAATTACACATAAACAAATATGCATATGTTATAAACAAGCAGCACTACACACCCGATTTCCAAAACGCGTCTATTAGGCAACACATTGAAAGCTACTTAATTTGCACATTTCATGCAATAACTTATGTGCAAATGCCTAATTCCACATTCATCACTGGACATCGGTTAGGAACTATAATCAGTGAGCACTTTTTTTTTTCATATGAGCCTTTACTTTTGATCAGCTATGTACTAACACTGTACATGTTACACACCCCAAAAAGCCTGCAGACAAAACATAAAAGTAACAACACAGCATTTCTAATTTGTGACAATTGCTTCAGAAGCAAAAAACTACACCCAGAATACTATCTGATATGAATGCAACTATTCATAAAAGGATGAAGTCTTACATTTATAAAATGCCTATATAGCACAAAAATAGCGTAATCCATACAGGCACATAAGCATATACAATACAAGGAAAATGCAACTGAAAATTACCTTCAAAAATTTTTTTGAAAGCCAGATTACGTAAATGTTTTCCTGTTGATGATTAATAAAATTAGTATTACAGTCCCGATGATAATCAATAAAATAACAAGATTGTATAACACTGTTAATGAACTCCATTGTACTACAGTACAAAGTCCGTAATCTGGACTCGTCGGGACTTCGGCGATTCCGGATTACAGATCATCAATTTAAATCTCGTAAGATGGCAAGCAGAAATTCTAAAATTAAAAATATGAAACTGTAACTTAGGAAATAAAGAACAATTATGATCTAATGGGTATCAAAATTTACAAAAAAAAAAAAAAAAAAAAAAAGCTTAATATTTATTTGTTTACTTTATTAAACATTTCTTTCAATGTAAGTTGCTTCTTTTTTGTGCTAATACTTTCTCTTTAATTCTATAAACAGACATAATTTCTTGTTCAGTTACAAAGTTCCACTGTTCAAGTCCTGTAATTGCTGTGTCGAGAATACCGACTAACTTGTCAATTGAAATGTTTTCGTTTTCAATAACCTTTCTGTCACTTTCTTCACTATCGGAAGCGGTATTTTCTGGATCTAGAACCATAATACAGATTTCGCCGTCTGTTAATTGATTGATGATTGGGGCATTGTTGTCGCAATGAAAAACTTCTGCTATATCATCTTCATTTATTACCGCTTCTCCACATTTCTTTACAAAATCCAATAACTGGAAAATTTCACCTTTAGTTTGCGATGTCCGAAAACCTTCAAATTCGCGGCTATCATCTTCATGGTCCTCACCATGAAATATGGTAGCTGGCCATAAATTATGCTAAGCAATTTCTACTCTTCAAGTCCTGTAATTGCTGTGTTGAGAATACCTACTAACTTGGCAATCGAAATTTTTTCGTTTTTAATAACGTTCTCTGCTACTTTCTTCACTATCAGCAGCGGCCATGGGTAAATGCTTTACTGGCTTTACCCGTATGCACGCATCAAATGTGCATGCGTAAGTTTGTGGCTTTGAGGTCTGGATTCGAGATCATTCCGGATAATGGACGTCCGGTTTAGAGACTTTGTGTATTATGAATTTTGTACATATATAAATAATTTTAGTGAAAGTATATAATTATATGTGAGATTGTAGTATTCTTTTTGTATAATGTAGCATGAAATGCTTGAAAGGGATGTTCTACTAGAAAACTAAGAGTACAGGCCCATGTCTATTTGACACTGAGTAAATGGCTATTCTCAAAAAATTGATGAGATATTGCCAAACTGGTGACGGTTTTGGTGACAACTTTTTGTCCTCTTGGCAAGAAATGTCAAAAAAGTCCCAAACTTGGTGACCATTTGACAGCATTTTGGTCTGGTTTCTGTATAACTGCAATTGATCTCTATATGTAACTCTAACTACGTTTGGCCCTCATTATGCCTTCCAGTAATTTTGAGAAGTGGAAAGTACTAGAGACTTCACGATGACCAGAGCCTAAACTAAACAAGACCAGAGAGAGCATCAGTTTTTAGCTCCATGGATTTTTTTCAATAATAAGAAACTTCAAAGTACTGAGATATCTATGAAAACTTTGCCTTTTAGATGTGCTTTACAATGTGTTGTGTTTAATGTTATTAATAGTTTGGAGTATAACTACTGATTGCACTCTGTGATATTGAGCAGAGCTGTATGAGAGTTTTTGTAGAAAGTTCCAGAACTGTAAAGTGTTTCTTTAGGTAAAAATGAATTTTATCAAGTTATGATCGGTTCTGTGAATATTCGATGTATTACGAATCCATATACCACACAACAATATGATTTCATATTGTTAAGATATCTCATTCTTCTATCATATGATTTTATATTGTTAGGATATTTTGCCCTTCTATCATATTTTGCTACAAATCAGCTGCCTCACAGCAAACTATACAACAAACTACTTTTCAGGCATTCTGTAAAACAATGGTTCTCAAAACTTTTCGCAGATTACATTCCCTCAGTCACAATATAAACTCAAATGTAACTCCCAAGATAAAATTTCCCAAAATAACTAAAATTACTGGGAAATTTACTGATATTGTCTTAATGCTATAGCAAATATACTGCTTTAACTTTTTTGTAAGACCAGTATTAGTGCAGCCACTTTGGTGCACTTTAGCAATATTTACAAGGGGGAAGAATAATGATAACTTATAATTGCAAAAAATTCTCAAAAATCCTTGAATCAATCCTAATTCTAAGGGGAAAAAAATCATGGAACTTGGAAAACAATAAAAAGAATACAAACAAAAATGGCAATATTATTTGTTAAAACTGAAAAACTGTTATGCACATTACTGCCAGTTTGAGATAGTCTGAAAATTTCATGTCTTCTGTGGTTATTTCAATAGTATGCACATTCCAGAAAATTATGCATGTAATAAAAATATTTCAAAAGTAATAATACTACTCAAAAAAGAACTATTGCTGTAATATTACCATTTATTCAGAATTAATATGACTAGATAAAAAATATAATAAAAAACATTTGCAAAAAGTTTTAAGCATTTTTTTTTTCAATAATTGTTTCAATAATAACAACTGAAAAACACTCGATGAAAATTCTTCCCTCAAAAAACTATTTCAGTTGTTGGACAGAAACATCAAATCATGAACATGAATTTAACTGTGGTCAAAAGTAAGGATTGTTCCTGTCACTGGCTTAGGCCTTCAGTACCTTAACAGATGACAGTAAAACTTTAAACCTAAATCTAATAAAGTTTTGAAAGCGAATCCCCTAAGGAACAGTTCCTAGTTTCTCCTATCCTTCTTCCCCATCCACCAACCCCTCAAGAGATCATTAGCTTCAGCCATATTTTAAATGCTCCTCTCTTTTCACGCTGCAAAGACATTAGACACTAGCAAACATCATGCCCTTTCCTGGATATGAACTGAGGACCTATGCTATGGCAACCAACTTCCCTAACCCCATGCCAAAAATGCGGCAAACAAATTTATGAATTACTTTATGTGCTATTTGTTGAAGGAAAGGGGAGGGGGAAAAAACAAACAAACCTGAAATAAGGAATTTTTCAGACAGCACAACTTTTGTCACTGGACTTCGATGGACAGTAAATGTTTGGAATAACTGAGGGCCATGTCCAACTGTTTCAGGATGCTGAACTATGACACGCACGGTTCCAGAGCTTGTACCATAAGCAATTTCAATCCAATTGCCACAAAGGCCTTGAAAACAAAACTAAGAGTGATTTTTTTGTATAAAAAAAAAAACAACCATAAAACACAATAATATAATCTAATTTTGCAGAAAAATGTTCATGTTTTAGCTTTATCTCAAATAATTTTATCATTCATTAAAGAGGAAATTACAAAAGTATTTAAGAAATTTTACATTTATTTCTTAACAGGCAACAAAACAGTTACATAATCGTTAGAAAAAAGAATCACTGAATAGGTTAATGACTAATTAACTTTTTAAAAGCACATCATAAACAGATGTGAGAACAATATATGCACAATAAGAATGTTAAAATTTCAAATTTTATTATTATTTAAAACTGATTATTCATGCCAAATTTAATATAATATTATTATTAATATAATCATTTTACATATTAATTAACATACAGTAAAAGTAAAAAAAATTAATAAATCTTACTAGTTTTAGGAGTCAGGTAGACACTGATAGCAGTAATAATATCATTAGATGGATCATGATATAGTTCTGTCACAAGCAAATCATTATCCTTCATTCGCAGTGGAAATTTTTGCATATCTAAAAATAAAAAATCATATATATGTACAAGGTGATTATAATTACCGCTGTGATTTCAAAATACTCTAACTTTAGAACTATTTGTCAGAATCACTTGATATTTTACTAGAATGGAGGCAATGGATTTTTGTTTGAAAGGGAAAAAAAAAATAGTTTCAAAATATGCCAATAGATGGTGCTGTCAAAGTTCACATTGCTGTTTTGAACTTTGATGTCAAAGTTCATATCAAAGTTCACATCATATGCAAATTACTAAGACGTAATATGTGCACTGCAGACATGGCTAAGATAAAAATGCACTAACAACAAACATAACATTTTGCCTGAGTGCTTCATCATGATTGACGAAAAAGGATCGTTCTCTTCTTGTGAAGCTTTCCTATCAGAATGGTGACTCGCATTAACTGCTATCAGAAAGCTCCGGACATTAGAAGACATAAAATCTGGCCCAATGACCATATATAGCCTGCAGAAAATGATAGGTAAATTTGAAGAAACTGGTTCATTTGATGTGAAATGAGGTAGAGGACGAAAACCAGTTTCAGTGGTGGCAGTAGAAATTGTGGCCACAGCGTTTCAAGAACTGACAAACAGTGATGCAGGAATCAGCAGTGCTCTGAGAATTGGCCGAATGTTTGATATGCCTATCAGCATGGTGCATAATGTCCTGCAGAACTACTGATTGGATTGGATAATGTCCTGCAGAACATCTTGCACTGTTATCCGTACAAGATATCTCATGTACAGCAGTTCCTAACTGCTGACCTGGAAACATGTGAATCATTTGCACTACAATTTCTTGCCCACACGGAAGTAGATAATGAGGTGACAGGAAAAATGCCCACAGGCAAAATGCTCATGGGTATAAATGCTCACAGGAAAAAAGCCCACACAGAAATATGCCCACATAGAAAAAAGATCACATGGAAATAAGCCCACTGATAAATAAAAAACATAGAAATTAATTAGATTAATCAATCAATACCTCAATTGAATGTTCAAAATTATTTAAATTATATGATTATATATATCATATAATGATATATATATATCAAAACATCTATGGTGTAGGGTTTATATTTATTTTAACTAACATTTATTTTAAGTTTAAACTATCTTTCCTGTCAAGCCTTACTTTCCCCTGGAACTGCCAATGCCAGAATATGTAAATTTTAGTAGAACGCGCAAGGATTCAAATTATCAGCGGAAGTATTATGATTTAAATAGAAGGAAACGAGTTCGGTGTGATAATTCTTACTTCACGAGCGCGGAGGTAGTTAGCGAGAAATTGAACAACCCCGCATTTCGGCCTATGTGCTTGGCGGGAAGTAGTGTTAATCGTTCAAGTGAGCTTCAAGTCTGCTGAATTAGCAGCGGTGTTGTAAAACGCGGTGAGTAGTTAGTTATTTTAGAGAGCCTCGTAGTTAGAGTCTTGTCTTTAGTTTCTTTTCAGGTTATTATTTTTATTTGACCGCCAAGTAGGCGCAGTCTGTGAGCGTCAAGAGCACGCAATTGTAATTTATTACGTTGAATAAAAAGGGACTTAAACCCTTCACAAGACTGTGTTTTATACAGTTTCCACAGTCACCTCTTGGTTGTGTGCAAATTGGAGGCGCGCAAAGTTACATTGGCGCCCGAACAATTATCGAACTGAAATGGCCGAAAATTGGATGGAAGCCGCTGGACAACACCAAGAAATGACAAGCCAGTTAGAAGGATTTGGATACCTGGTCCAGACTTTGAGAGCATCAATCAAGCCAAACGTCCATTTCGACGGAAAAAATTCGGTGGCGGTATTTCTAGAAGGTCTAGAAAACCACTTTCAGCTCTACCCTGTCCCCGAAAGACAAAAAGTTGCCATCGCCACATCAGCACTAAGAGGACAGGCCGCGCTATGGTGGAAAAACATAGGCAAATTTTTATTAGGGGAACTTGGAAGCCAGACGTATACATTTGAAAATTTCAAAAAATCGTTAGTAAAGGCCTTCCCCATAGTGAAAGATCGTGCACGGCTGGAAGCCGAGGTATATAGTTTCTATCAACGGGATACAGCAGAATTGACGGACTTTATTCTACGAAAAATCAAGCTAACGGATATGCTGTATGGAAAGAAAAAAACCCGATGCGGAGATTATTGAAATAAATTACCAAGATTGTTACCCGCTGTTCAAAACTACTTTGAAATTAGAAACCCAAGCACATTGCAGGAACTTTTCGAATTGGCGGTGAAGTTTCAAAATCGCAGAATAGCGGAAAAAGCGAAGGGGAAACATATTCTCAAAGTACCCGAAGGAAATCTTCAAAGGAGGAAACCAGAAATGGAAATCGCTCTTATGGGGGAAAGAACTATCAAGCTAACGCATCGTAACTCGAAGGTCAAGGCCCAAAAAGAAAATTTGAAAATAAACATCCGCGTACCCAGAAGACACAGATTGAAAGGAAAGCTTTAAACGACTAGAGGGGCCTGTGAAAGGGAGGGTCCAGACCCCGGAAATTTAAAAAAACCCTCAAATAGACATTTAAATACGGTCAGCGTAAAAAACTCACAGCTACCAATTATACAAGTCCTGGTTGGCGATGTACCAGTAGAAGCCCTCATCGATACAGGAGCAGAAGGAAATTTATATGATGAAATTTTATGAGTGAAAAACTTCTTCAAAAAGAATTTTTATAGGGTACGACTATTTAAAACCAGAAATACGGAAATTATAGCGGCGCAAGGGAAAACATGTCACTGCATCGGGAAATTATCATTAAACTTACAGGTAAAAGAGGAAAGAAAGTCTCAAAGTATTAATTTTTGTTGTGGTGAAAGATCTGCAACACTCTCTTATTTTAGGTATGGACTTTTTAAGGGCCACGAGGGCCAATTAAATTTTCAAGATAGTTCCGTGGTGTTGGAGATGGACCAGAGGGTGGTGGGTGGTGGAACCTGTGGAGACACCTCAAGTGGACCTTAGCCATCTGAATGACCATGAAAGGAAAGCAATACAGCAAGTGGTGAGTAATTTTTTCTCATTTGTTTTTCAGAAAAACCAGGAAACTGCCAAATAGTGACGCACAAGATTCAATTAAATGCCGAAAAACCTTGTAGGACTAAGCCATACCGTTATGACAAACAAAAAGACTTAATCATCGAAGAACATATTCAGGAGATGTTAAAGAATAAAATAATAACGCCCATAAATAGTGAGTACGCGAGTCCAGTCGTACTATGTAGGAAAAAGAACGAGTTTCCTCCTTCAGATAAAAGGGCTTGGAGGTTTGCTATTGATTACAGAAAACTAAATAGTATTACCAAATTTCCAGTTTACCCTTTGCCGGTTATAGACGAGATCATTAGACAGATCAAATCGACAAGATATATATGTCTACTTTGGACTTAACGTCTGGCTACTATCAAATAGCTATGAGACCCGAAGATATACATAAAACTGCGTTTATAACAAAATCGGGCACTTATGCATTTTTACGCATGCCTTTTGGGTTGTGTGGGGCCCCATCAACATTCCAGAGAGCTATGGACATTGTTCTAAAGCCTGTCCTAGGAAAATCAACTTTAATTTATCTAGATGATATAATTATAACGAGTAGTACGTTGGAACAACACATTAATGACCACGAACAAGTTTTTAAATTATTAAAAGAGGCCGGTCTTACAATTAATGCCTCAAAATGCAAGTTTGCACCTAAAGAACTTAAATATCTCGGTTATAAAATTTTGCAAAAGGGTATAGAAACGCAAGATTCAAAAATAAAAGCTATTAAGAATTTCCCACCGCCCAACACCGCCAAGAAACTTTCTTCTTTCCTTGGATTATGTTCTTACTATCGATCTTTCATAAAAGATTTCGCTAATATTGTTGAACCACTCTTAGTAATCAAAAGAAAAAGGGCTAAATTTACATGGACAGCGAAAGCTAACACAGCTTTTGAAAGATTAAAAGAAGCGCTTATTAATGCCCCTGTTTTAAAATTCCCGGAGGGGGACGAAAACCTGGAAATTGCAGCAGATGCGTCAGATTATGCGGTGGGTGCGGTTCTTATGCAAAATAACCATCCGCTGGCATTTTTTAGTAAAACGTTGAATCAGACACAAAGGAATTATACAGCTACAGAAAGAGAATCATTAGCCGTATTAATGGCTGTACACAAATTTCGAGTTTATTTCGGCAAATCGCCAGTAACAGTCCTTTCGGATCATGCGGCTGTTGGTAGACTTTACTCGGGGAAAAACCTAACGCCCAGGTTAATAAGATGGGCTTTAAAACTCCAAGAATATAATATCACAATAAAATATAAACCGGGTAAGGAAAACAATGTAGCTGACGCACTTTCTCGTATAAAACTGGACGATGAAGGAAATGAACTTAAATAGCATTCGCGCTACATTTCCGAATGAAATTTTAGGCATAGATCTTCTTGGTCCCTTCCCCCAGAGCGAGTTAAATAAAAATCATTTTCTTTTAGTAATAGTAGATCATTTTTCAAAATGGATAGAAATTGTTCCACTTAAACGCGCGTCAGCCAAAACAGTCGCAGATGCATTCTTACACAGATACATTTTAAAAGACGGTGCACCGATAAAAGTCATTAGCGATAACGGAAAACAATTCATTAGTCAAATATTTGAAAACATATGCAATGGACTTGGCATACGCCATATCAAAATGGTTCCGTATGGACCACAAGCTAACATAGCAGAAAGAGTTAATAAAAATATAGTAAAAATAATTCGCAGTTACGTGAGCACACATCACAAGCGCTGGGATGGCTACATAAATGAATTAGCTTATGCTTTAAGAACGGCACATCATGATACTACGGGAAAAACTCCAGCAGAATTATTCTTAGGCCGAAAATTAATTACGCCTTTAGATAAATTATTCTTTGTGCAACAAAGAGAGCAGGACTTTAAACAAAAAGATGTGCAAAAGTTGATTGATCAGGCGCTTAAAAGCTCGGATACGGCAAGAAAAAGAAATAGGCAGAAACTATAT